TGATAATCCACATCTCACTCTCAGATGACTAAGCTCCACTATCTTAATGACACAACCTCATTCCCTCCTCTTTATATAACATGTGTGCATCGTAGTCTGTGTGTGTTATAAATGGTTCTTCTGTTTCCACAGCACTGCCTGTGCCAAGTGCCAGGTCCACATCTTAGTAAATTCACTAGGATCCTCTGTTATTCCTTTTGGTCTCTGGTCTGTTTAAGGGGTAAGCCACGCCCACTCCCAGTGACTTCTGACCTCTCGTCACCATCTTTCTCTCTTTCTGTTTCCTCTCTTGGTGTGTGCACACGTGTTTTCTGTCCTTTCTCTTTCCCTTTTCCTATTTCTGTCTTTCTTTCTCTTTAAGTTATAAATGTTCAGCTTTATGGTTAGCCTTATGTCTATTTACTATGTCCTGTAAGCCTTTTATCTGCCGTCTCCACCTGCCCGCTTGGGTGACTCTCCCGGCCGGCCGCATGGCAGCACCAGCCTGTCCGGGATGAGCCACCGCTCTGCCACTCGCCGCGGGGAATCTGCACTGCTCTGGCAGCCGTCTCTGCCTGGACTAGCGGCTGCGGTTGCAGCATTATATTTTTAAGGAATAAAATTGGTGCCGTGGACTCGAGAGATTCGCCCGCCCGGGGCCGGGTTCCCAGTTTCAGGTTCCGTCCGGGACTCTGAGCTCCGTCTTCCGGGTCAGAATTGGGACCGAGGACCTTCTCGACAATGATCCACCTGTTCCATCTGCCTGGGCACAGCTCCTACGAACAACACCAGCTTCTAATCATGAGTGTCCCCTCTGGTCAGCTTAACCAACTCTTTTAACCCGGGAATTGACCAGTACTCCCGGTGTTTCTAGGGTCCGGGGGACTTCCTGGGTCCCTTCGCTGGCATTCAATTATGGCTTGCATCCTCTGTCAAACCCGCGCCTGGGACGGCTTGGCTATGGCCAGCCCCCAGCACTCCCATACCTGGAGGTCCGGGGTCTCCAGTTCTTACTCTTTCTCTTTATTTCATTCCTTTCCTTCCTTCTATGATTGGCTGCTATGGTGCAGCTTCTTTTCATTCTCACGGCTGCTACGGTGCAGCCCATGGCTACTGCTTTCTGAGCAATTTGCCCAGAACCAGCTAGGCCCATAGCATCCCACATGTGGACCACGAACACCCGGCCACATTGTCCTGGATGTTCGATCCATCTGCATCTCGCCTAAATGGGGAGTTGCTCCTGCTGTAGGCTTGAGGTGCCACAGTTTTTTGCAGATTTTTCTTGACCATGGGAAGCAAGCCGTCCCCAGCCTAAATATGCCTTACTTAAAATCCTCCACACTTATCCATCTTTAAAATGTCTGTTTGCGCGGTTTTCACCATTCAGGCTCTGGATAGCAACCGCCCATGGCAGGCAGTCCCTGGTTTTTAAAATTCCTGCCGGCTTTTTCATTCCAGCTGTGGTTTGGTGCAGTTTTTTCGGTTCCAGCCTTTTGTTCCCCTCTGCGGCTTGTGGTACGGCATGGCGGCTCAGCAACAGGGCAGATAACGCCTTTAGGTCCCTCTCATTAAGCTTAAAATCCTTACAGCTCAAAAATTGTAACTTTTTCCCCACAACACGTGGCCGCTGCCATGTTCACTGGGGTCAGGTGACTTTATCGCTATCTTGACTGAGAGCCAGGTCATGTGACTAAGCTCTCCCATTCTTATGTATGCCCTGCCTTCCCCGTGCCTCCCCAGTGTTCACTGAAATCCTCTCGTTAACTCTGCTTACAGGTGCTTTACATAGTGGCGTGCTTTTTTCTTTTTTTTCTAATTAATTAATTTATTTATTATGTATACAATGTTCTATCTGCATGTATGCCTGCCCGCCAGAAGAGGGCACCAGATCTCATAGATGGTTGTGAGCCACCATGTGGTTGCTGGGAATTGAACTCAGGACCTCTGGAAGAGCAGCCAGTGCTCTTAACCTCTGAGCCATCTGTCCAGCCCCAGTGACGTGCTTTTGATAGGGCCCATCAAAATTATGCACGTTGCCCAATTCCTGTTCATTATTTCTATATATAATAATCGTTCATTACATCTCATTTCAGACTACAAAATCATAAGTCTCATATTTTAAACTGGTATGTACTTTTAACTCTCTTATATTTAATATTAAGCTGTTCTCTACCATTGTTAGTTCTGCCACTAATCTTATATTACAAATAGGTTTTTTCTTTCTTTCTGTCTTTTTATGAGTGTGGATCTTACCTGTTAAGAGCCAGTACAGTCAAGCTCAGATCCAACCTTCCAGACACATTTTATATTGCAGCTGTACCTAATAAACAGTCTCAACTGCTCAGAGATCTGGGGAATGTGATATTTAAGTATTTAATTATTTAAAAAACTTTCCCTAACAAAAAGAGACAGGTTGGCTCCCAGAAGCACTCTGTTTCCTCCAAGAAGACAGAAGACAAACAGACACAGAACAACATCCATCTGCAGTTGCAGAGCAGCGTCCATCTGCAGTTCGCTTCGACTGCCAACGCTGACCATTGTGCAAAACTGCCTTTCACCTAAACTAAAGACCTCCAGACATGGACAGAATCACTGGAATCGACAGCCTAGCTGCCCTGGTCAAGGCAGGCCTGTCTTCCTACAGATTTCTTAGTCCACAGGGTCTTCTGGAGTCTGACAGGCCCTGCGCTAAACAGCAAAGGTCAAGTACAACCTTTAGCGAACATGGAGGACCCAAAAGAGTAGCTCTGGGTGCCAACCAAGTAAGTTCTCTGTCATTTTTTAATCAGTAGCTCAAGTAAAATCTTATCCTTCTCAAAGATTTCTGACAGTTTGATAGCTAAGAGGTTTTGCCAGTGTGCCTCACCAAATAAAAAATACTTTTCATTGTACAAAAATATGTCACAGTCATTATACAATGCATATGTCTAAAACTTCTGTTTTTACAAACCCAAGGAGTTCTTATGAGTTCCAGGGAGCCGAATTAAAGAACCCACCTTAAACAGGTCAGATATATTCCCCTCAATTTCCTGGTCCTAAAAATTTTTTTTCCTAATTTAACTTTGTCCTCTGTTCTGCTAATACCCTAACCAGGTACAAGGAACACCAGACATTTCCATGCCACAGACACCTGTTGGGAGCAGAGACCAACTATGCCAGGATGTGACCAGCACCCAGCCTTCTCTCGGATTCTTCACCCCCCCCAAAGACGACACCCACAAATCAGCTGGAAGCAGTCTTGAGAATTTGCCGCCCCAATTCCTTCAAACTGTGGTGTCTAATTTCCTGATTTTTATTTATAAAAAGGATCCAGGAATGTTATCCTTTTGGTCTCTGGTCCCTTTAAGGGGCAAGCCACGCCCACTCCCAGTGACTTCTAACCTCTCATTGCCATCTTTCTCTCTTTCTGTTTCCTCTCTCGGCGTGTGCACACGTGTTTTCTGTCCTTTCTCTTTCCCTTTTCCTATTTCTGTCTTTCCTTCTCCTTTAAGTAATAAATGTTCAGCTTTATGTTTAGCCTTATGTCTATTTACTATGTCCTGTAAACCTTTTATCTGCCGTCTCCACCTGCCCGTTTGGGTGACTCTCCCGGCCACATGGCAGCACCAGCCTGTCCAGAATGAGCCATCGCTCTGCCGCTCACCGCGGGGAATCTGCACCGCTCTGGCAGCTGTCTCTGCCTGGACTAGCGGCTGCGGTCATGGCATTATATTTTTAAGGAGTAAAATCCTCTGATTCCAAGGGACCACACCCTCTTTGCATCTGCAATATCCTTGTCCTATCAGGACCTGGAGTCTTGCCTGTCCCCAGCCCTGCTGTGTACGACGCCTTTGACACCCTGACTCCTGGACTTTGTGGTGCTCCTAATCGTTATGTAAATAGTGATACAAAGAATGTTCTCATTGCCTGTTTTAGTGCCTGCATTTGTGCTAGGACTGGGTTAAGGAGCATTAACACAGGCAGTGTGTTAGGACGCTCATTCCTTCATTCTGACCAGTCCTCAGGAGTCTTTGGGGGTGGAAAAAGACTTCATAAAGAGAGCAACACACACTGCACTGGGATTGCCTGGAAACTGAGGAAGGAAAGAAAATATGTTTAGTGTTGTGGGTCTGAGGTTTGAGCTCCTCCTGGGACCTAACAAAAATGAGAGTGAATGACCTGTTGGTGTGGGAAGAGCTGAAGATACTGGTGGCTCACTCTTAGGACTGCACTCTGACCTTGTTACTGATGACTCATTCAAACCCGGCAGGTACACACCTAATCAAAGCTGTCCTCACATATACTCTGTAGCCTAGGAGAACCATGAATTTCTTATCTGAAGCCTCATAAATGCCTAATCTTAGACTTGCTCCACCCAAGTGTCAGGAGCCCAGGTTTGTGCCCCTCCCCCTGTGACAGCCTTGAAATACTCACATGAATTGATAATGAAATGAAAGAATATTTCAAAAATGTAAGAGCAAGTCAGAGTCTGAGTTGAGGCAGGTGTTGACAAGTCCCCTCCCCAAAGTGAAATGTGGGGTCAGCTCCTCAGGGCCAGCATTATATGTTTTCAGTAATTCTAACAGGGACTTGGGTCAAGGTGACAGGGATGGAGTCATCTAACCAATGCCAGGTTCAAAAATGATGGTATTAATACTGAGATGCATCTTAAAAATAACTTACGGGCCAAAGAATTTTAAATTCTGGAAGATGCCCTTGATCCGTCTCCGGGTATACATTGCCACTGTAGTTGTTGGCTGTGGAAGGTTGTGGAGTTTTGTAGGACAGATAACAACAACCATCAAAGATGGTGATATGATCAGGTGGGACCACAGCCACCCAACTATCCAGCAGGCAGACAGCAGAGTGAGCTCATGGAAACCTTTGCCAGGGTGTGTGGTGCAGGTCAGAGTAGCTTGCTTTAGGCCCAAGTGGGGTGAGTTGGGGAGAAGTGACCATCTGTACTAGTCAGGTTCTCTAGAGTAGCAGAACTCACAGAATCCATCTCTCTACATAGAAGGGGGTTTATTAGAATGACTCACAGGCTGTGGCTCAGCTTGTCCAACAGTGGCTGCCTACGAATGGAAGGCTGAAGACTCCAGATGCTGCTCAGTCCACAAGGCTGGATGTCTTGGCTCGTCTTCACTATACGCCGGAATCCTGAAGAAGGAGGCTGTAATGCAATGAAGGATTGGACTTGTTAATGAGGCGAAACCAAGGAGGCAAAGATCAACAACTTCCTTCTTCCATGGCCTTATATAGGCTTTCAGCAGAAGGTGTGGCTTAGATTAGAGTCAGGACTTACTTCCTCAATATATCTGTATTAAAGACACGGCATCCTACTTTAAATCTGACTTAGAAGGGAGCCTCACCACTTCAAATTCAGAAAAATCCCCTCACAGTTGTGTCCTACATTTGAGTTTTAATTTAATTCCAGATGTAGTCAAGTTGACAACCAAGACTAGCCATCACACCACTCAACCAGAGTCCACAAACCCACGGGAGTGCACTGCCACCAAGACACAGAAATTAAGTGTTAGGAAATAAACACTTTTGGAAATTTATGGTACAAAGTTTGAAACATAGCTTCGTTGAGTTAAGGCTGACTGGGAAGTATGTATGTGCCTGTGTTTATGTGCACTGTGTGTGGGATGTTGTTTAAATTAGTTCAAGTGAAAACAGTTTATATGTTAACCATCTACACCCTGAGTCATTGACTGATCTGGGATCCAGGATTTGGGGCCTGATTTCTTCCCTATGAGCATCTCCAGGATCAGAGACAAGTTCATTCTTCCTGGTACCCACTTTCTCATGGTCTCTGTGGCATGTGTGTCAGATATCCGGCTACTAAGGAGAGCAGTGCCCGGCTACTAAGGAGAGCAGTACCCAATCCTAACTCTGTTTATCTGAAGAAAAGCAGAGATTCTAGAGGGAAAGTGCTGGGCACGATGTCACACAGCTGATTCTGACTATGGGGGAAATGTGATTTGTAATGATTTAAAACTTTCTAGAATATTTTCTGCTTGTATGGACACATAGTTTGCTCCTCCCTTGGCTTTGCCCTTTGATCTTTCAAACACACAGCCTATGGCACTGTTTACAGGATTGTGCACTTTGCTCTCTGGATTCGCAGTCTGGCACTCTTTCCCACTCTGCATGCAAAACATCGTATAACCTCCTTCTGCAGCCCCACAGACTGAAGAGAGGCTAGCTAAGGCCAGGAGGTGCAGGCTGGACACCCACTGATTCACTTCCTTCTAGAATCTGGAGCAGGGCACTCATTTCTGAACCTCAGGTTCCACCGTGGAACCTGGCACAGACATACATACTAAGAGATTCATGGTGCAGTCTCTGGACTCCTTGTATCTCACACATCCACATTTGCCACCATCTGTTCATGTGGCAATACGTAAAGGACAACTCCAGGGTGGCCATGACACAGGATGGGAGGACTCTGGGTTCTCTGCTCTCTCCATTCACATCCTCAATTCCTCCATTTCCCAGAGGGCACCCAGAACAGCCACCTTCCCTCTGAGGTGCCCTAGTCACACATCAGGCTGTCTGGAAGTAACTGAACCCCTCAGAGAAGCCATCTGTGGGTGTCCTACAGTCTCTTGTGCTGATTTCTGAGGCAGAGGAGAAAGCAGCCAGATTCCAACCTGGATGCTAGTTCAGCCACAGGCTGATGAACCTGTGACCCAGGCCAATAGCTAAATGACTTTATAAAATGGGGAGTTAGTCCTTTTGAGAGTGACTTTGGGCAGAGGCAGATATCTCCCCACTTATGGAAGAACTAATTCTGGTTGAGTTAGATGGACACAGCTGTTATTAGCAGTGTGTCCAGTCCCCAGCTGTGCTTTTGAGTCACAGACAGAGACAAGCGCGGGGCCAATGTTTCCAGCCCGAGTAGAGCAAGTGGAGTCACACCTGCTCAGCAGCTATGATCCAGGGGACACCCCAGACAAGCTACTCATTAGGTGCCACCCTCTAAGATGAGCTACTCTACCATAGCAAAGAAATCCAATTAAGTCAGATTAAACCGAATTATAAATGTCCATGTTTTATTAAATACAGCACTCTTGGGTGGCCTAGAGCATGGCTGGGGAGACAGGAAAGTGGGGAGCACATGAAAACCTGAAACCACATGTTCCTACTCTGCCAGCCCACTTAAGTACCTTGTGGGAGTGGTACTGACCCTCCTCCTCCGAGGCATTAGGACCTGGCATGCTGGGATTTGGAGTCCTGACCAATGCAATTCCCAGGCCAGAGGTCTGGTATGGATACCAGGGGCTGCGTTAAGCTCCCGACTTAACATTCCAGATTCTTTGGATATAGGGGTGACAGAAAGTTGAGGTGATAATGATGACCAACATTTTCAGCTCTGTTTGGAGAAAGGGCGTAGACTTAAGTTTTACTACTTCCTATGGGCATGGGACTCTGTAGGAGAGGGGAAAGCTGAAAGTTGATTGGTTCATGCTCAGCTGGAGGTGTGACTGGAAAGGCATCCTGTTCCCTATCTTCCTGGAGATGCCAGGCTTCTGTTTCTTGAGGGAGGTAAGGAGGCAGGTGTCTAGGAGAAAAAAACATTGTTATTACTGGCCCTATGAAATCGGGCTAGCCATGGAATGAGACACAATAGCAGGTGAAACCAGAGGTTAGTTGGCAGATGTTCTTGATCCAGAAGAGTCGGCAGGTTCCCTGATCCAGGGAGCTGTTACCAATGGTGAAGTCCCAGGAACTGGCACAGGTGCTTTCGTTGTTGTCCTGGGAGTGCTTTGTTGTTTGGTCTTGACGTTGGCAGCAGGAGTAACCTGCAAAAATGCTTCAAACTGGCTGGGGTTAAAAATTAAAAACCTTAGGGAATCATTTTAGGGTTTACAAGAGACTTGATTATAAAGGGGATCCCCGGTCCAAGGAGAGATCCCCAGATGGTTCTCTGGACAGAGGAGAGGGTGCCTGAACCGGCCTTGGCCCACAACCATACTGATGAATATTTTGCATGTCACCATAGAACCCTCATCTGGCGATGGATGGAGATGGAGGCGGAGAACCACGTTGGAACACTAGACCTAGCTCCCTAGGTCCAAATAAGAGGCAGAAGGAAAGAGAACGTGAGCAAAGAAGGCAAGGGCAGAGGAAACCTTCATCCGACGTTGGATGGCGATACAGATGGAGACCCATATTGGAACACCGAACTGAGCACTCCACGGTCCAAATGAGGAACAGAAAGATGAAGAAAATAAAAAAAGTAATCAGGACTGCAAGGGATGCGAGCACCCACTGATACAAGGGAACTGATATAATGAGAGTTCACCAAGGCCTGTTGGACTGGGACTGAACGAGGTCGTGATCCAACCAGATTCTCTGAATGTGGCTGGCCCGGAGCCTTTTTGAAAAGCCATTGACAATGACACTGGGACTTGCTTCCTCTGCATATACTGGATTTTGGCGCTCCAGTCTGTTTGGACTCTCACCTTTCCTGGACCTGGAGGGAGTGGGGAGGAACTTGAACTTCCCACAGGGCAGGAAACCCTGACTGCTCTAGGGGATGGAGAGGGAGGAGGAGAGGGAGTGGGGGGAGTGGGAGGGTGTTGGGAGGAGGGGCTGAAATGGAAACTTTTATAATTTAATAAAAAAAAGAAAAACAAAACAACAACAAAAAAAACAAAACAAAACAAAACAAAAATTAAAAACCTTGGATTTTTCCCAGACCTGATTTTGCTATAGTGATAGAACTTTTCCAGGAACCTGTAAGAAAACTGGAACAGATTTTATCTCTCGGTGTCATAACAAAAGGCTATTACTTTAGGTTAGAAGAATTTTCCGAGGAAATTGGGTATATGAACCTCTGAAGAGTGAGACCTGTTAACCCAGGACTATGGAGCCTGTTAAAGTACAGTACTTTGAGGTGTCAAATGCTTTTAGACAGATCTGGGAGGAATAGATGAGCAAAAACGAGACAGCTTTTGGCTAGCAAGCAATCCCAAGTCCTCTCCTTACCCTTGGAGAACATCAGTCTTAGAAGCAGTACTTACCAGGCCCAAAGATTTCTCCTGTGAGGGGGAAGATTTGGTTTACCTATCTTGGCAAGATGAGCAGATGGATTCCCCGGTGAAGTGTCCAGGAAGCTGAAGTGGTAAAAGGCCTCTTTATGCTTCTGTGTGGGTGGCTTTGCCAAACCCAGAGGCAAGGTGGAAGGTCTTCTGTCTTCTTAGAGGATACATAGAGTGTTGCCAAAGCTGGCATGTCTCTGTGTTAGAAGCTCTATTATTGTTAAAATGCCATGATCTCAGATCTATAAAGGCATTTGAGAACCAGGTACCATTGCCTGGTATTCGAAACAAGGCATATGAGCTAAATTTTTAGAGCTGTTGTAATCTGGAAGCATACATGTACGCAAAACTTAAATTCACATCACAAAAACACAGTTACACACTTACATAAACACATTGTGGCCACATTATTTTAACAGAGAAACAAATAGGACAGCCTTAGGGACCTAGTGACCTGTGTCAGCTGACTAGGCATTGCCAGCGGGTACAGAAACATAAGGATGAAACATATTTGCAGAGTTTTAGAGTGGAAAGATGGGGGGCGCAGTTTGTTGTCAGCAGGGAATGGCGGGGCAGCAATGGAGATGACAGAGCGGTCTGAGCGTGGACGGCAGAGACCAGGGAAACAGCTATGGAGAACGTAAGGCTGAGTGCTCAGCCTGTGCCAGGGCCCATCAGAGCCATGCTGTCAATGTACTGAAACCAAGGGAAGTCGGGTTGGGAGTATAGAGCCATCAGCAAATGAACAGACAGAGATGGAAGTGGGGGCGGGACAAAAGAGCTGTCTGCAGAGCGGAGTCCGTGCATCCTTATGCTGCATTATGGAGTCACCAGGGCTCCCTACCACGAGGTGGGAGCCGAAGGGATGAATCGGGTGGGATAAAAAGGAATTTGAGAACCAGGTCCCAGCCGCGAGGTGGGAGCTGAGCTGGATGGGAAAATGGAAGTCAGAGTGAGACAAAAGAGCCATCGGTGAATGAACACACACAGAGAAATGGAAGTGGGGGCGGGATGAACTGTGTGCTCGGGAATGAACAGGGCATAAAAAGCGGAAGGGGAGGGGAAGAACTAGAATGCTGTACCTGGAAAAAACCACGGGCTTTGGAGCATAATTTTCATTAAGTTAGATCATTCCTACTTAAAAGTGTTTGTAAATGCCCTCTTAAGGGCATTTTGAAGTCGGCTAGCAATTGCAAGAAACCCACTTTAAGTGCATACCTGTGACACGAACCCATTGCAGAGCGTCCACTGGAATGCTCCTGAGTCAGGAAACCAGGGTACATGAGAAATTGGTTAGGGATGTTTCCTGTCCCCAAATCTTATCTCAGCAGGAGGTCCGGCCTCTGCCAAGTGTATGTGTGTCAGGCTTTTGGCACCACAGAGACGTCAACAAAAGCCTGAAAAGTGAACAGGTCACCCCAAAAACCCTACCCACATGCAGTTTAAAAAGGGAACTCACCAAGTGAAGCCGAATTTGCCTGGCTTAAGGCGTGTGCAGCAAGGCCGTTTTCCAGCATGGCCATGGGCCCCGGGCCCTTGGTTCTGAGTACGCAGGAAAAATTGAGGCCTCTTGGTGGGAAACTCCAGTATATTAGGAAAAAAATCCTAAAAGGAGCCTCTCCGCCGGTGCAAAGAAATCCAATTAGGTCAGATTAAACCGAACTAAAAATGCCCATGTTTTATTAAATACAGCGCTCTCGGGTGGCCGAGAGCATGGTGGAGGAAACAGAAAAGCGGGGAGCACATGCAAACCTGGAACCACGTTTCCTTCTCTGGGAGCCCACTACATACCCTGTGGGAGTGGTCCTGACCCTCCCCCGGGGACGGATAAGGACCTGGCATGCTGGAATTTGGCTTCCTGACCAATGTAGCTCCCAGGCCAGGGGCCTGGAATGGATGCCAGGGGCTGGGGTTTGCTCCCGACTCACCAGGTGCCAGTCTCTGTCTTGCCCTTTTCACACATCCATTCAGAGGAGCAGGCCCTCTCACCTCATATTATTTGATGAATCTTTACGGTCTCAGGCACCAGTGACTGTGGGATCCTCTGTGGCCCTGTCTCTCTTCCGTGTACAGGACTCTCTCCCTGTCATATCACCTGGCCTCTTGGGACACAGACCCTGACTCCAAGCTCAGTAGCAAATGTGGATGGTACAAATGAAAGTGTCCAGAAGGAATCCCAACTGAGGCTTCTAAGATCCTAATTAACTCATGAGAACTTCAATAGCAGCAGGGAGGCTGGAATGTTACAGATCAAGAGCCTAATGACACTTTGGCTCTGACTGTCCATAGTCCCCTGAATATCCATTCGTTGTCACCTCTGTGTTGTATTTAACACTCCGTGACTAAGATAAAAGCCATTTGGGATATGTGAACATAGACTACTAGCTTCCACCAACCCATAAGCTAAAAAAAATTGGCTGATGTCATCCGAGGACTGTAACCATCTCTCTGATTTTTCCACAAAAATCTTGTAAATGTGTTCATTTATGGCTTTCTTTCTTCTGGTACTATAAAAGCTTCATGAAATGGTTTCCGTGTTGGAAGATGGACTTTGGGGTACCCTAAATCTCTGTTCCAGGGTCATAGTCTTTCCGATTTGTCTCCAGAATACACTGTGTCTTTTCCCTTATGAGAGGAGAGTTGTAATTCCCCCACTGTGACTGCACTTATGTCTGTGTGCTTGCAGGGATCCTTGATTACTCATCAGAGACATGGGTTCATAGAGCCATTGTGACAATCGGGTAAAGATTAGTCTGTCACTTTAAAGTGACAACCTATTGATAATCCTGTACACAGGACAACTGCCCAACTCTCCTCCTCATCCATCATTTCCATTTCAATAGTTTATCTTTATCACTGGGTTCAGATGTGATACCCGCTATAGTTGGCTCTGTGTTGACTTAGCACGTGCCGTTGAGAGCCATCTATAATGCTGTGGGCACCATGAGTCCTTCCTGTTTTGTGCTGAGGAGTCACAGTCCATCATGAGGACCATCCCATCTTCCCCCCACACAGGACACCCTCAGACACCTGAACTGAATGCAGACTCTTTTATGGGCAGCAGCTGCAGGCGCAGTTCTGTTGCCTGTCACTTGTGTTCAGCAGGGACAGACCTGGTCACAGCCCCTCCTCTGCGCTGTCCTTCCTTCACCCTGTCTGTCTCTTCTGTTCCTTTCTGGGGTCTCTACTCATCTCTGAGCCTCACTGGTCTCTTCCCATAGCCTTTTCTTTTGCTAAGAGCACTTCTAACACCTGAGATACATTATTACATCATAGAAATTCATTTTAATTTCTTTTTAGATGTATCTCTATTTTGAAAATATCCTTCTACCTACTAGAATACTTTCACCACCCATGAAGGAATGCTGTATCTAAGAGAAGTGCCAATGGGCTGTGTCAATTCTCAAACCACCATGCTTGTTTGTCCCTTTCGTAAAGGAAGGTGTGTTCCTGGTGGGCAGAACCATGGAGGTGAAGTGGCCCTGGACTGGAAGGCTGCAAGGAGCTCTCTGGACACTGGACACCTCAGTGATCATTCACTGAAAGGGCTGTGGTGCAGTTGTTTTGAGAGGCCTGCGACCCTGGAAGAGTGCGGGACAAAGGCACAGACTCAAGTAATCTGTGTCCTAAGGGTCAGGATAGAGTGCAGGGTTCAAGGTCAAGGATGTGGTGAGCTCTGGCGAGGGCTCCTGAGTTTGTTCAGGGACAGAATCTGAGCCTGGCACAGCGTTCACTATAACACGGACACATGGGCTCATCAGTAGGGAGGACTCCATGAACTTTGACACTGAGGAGCAAGTACTAGGTAGCTCATGATGCAGATAGATTTCTTTCCATGTTTGTCCAGTGCTCAGTTCTCTTACTGCTCTGCACCCCCAGGGCGATGGCTTTGTCCACATCCAGCTGTCCCTTAGCCAGACATCCCTTCCAAGGAAGAACAGAGGGGCTGTGTGACACAAGAATGTTCCTCTAACAGACAAGACCCAAGAAGTACACAGGTCAGCTCTCTGTCTCAGGTGTTCAGAACTTGGGAAGAGGCCACTTGAGTGGTAAGGAAGGGACACAACTCATTGTTGCAGCCTCAGGGTGTTTCTGTGGCCAGAAGGGAAAGGTGAGATCAAGAAGGAAAATGGTTCTTGTATAAATTTCAATGGAAAATGGATTCTTGTTAATCCACAATAAGGAAAATAGTTTTTAAAAGAGGAGATGATAGAAATCTGGAGACAATTATCAACTTTCTTTAGTCAACAATCTAGAAAACACATGATATCATTTTCACAAAACACAAAGCATGACCAGGTTGGTGTTTGCATTGTTTACAAATTAATTTTTCAAATATTATGGAGCAAGTGTAGTTTTCATGTGCATCTCAACAGATCTCATCCAAATACAGCAGATTTTAAATTTCAGTAGGAATTAAGCCTTGTGATTCCTCCAAGAGTCTGCTTGCAGAGAGCAGAACTCACCAGCCACATCCTGTCACCCCTCCGTGCTGTAGAGCCCACGGCTGGCACATAGAACAAGAACCTGTGATGACCCTGCAGATGATGTCCCCAGCATCCCTTCCTGTCTATCCTCTGAGCATTTTACCAAAATCTCCATCACTCCACATGACCAAACCATGAAGAATGAAATGGGTTTCACACCCAGAGTCTGATTGTAAGATTGTGAAATAATTGGAAAAACACAGAATTAGGCAGAACTAGGAAGGAGGAGAAGTCTCTATCAGAAAGCAGTGGGAAAGATGGCAGCTCAGGGAACTGTGAGGATGGTGAGCCTCTGTTAAGAGCAGTGTGGGGGTGTGACTGGGGAGCAACCATGCTGTGGCTTAGTCAGGCCTTGGTTGTGCTCCCCAGCTTGGGACCGTGGTCCTTATGTGGGATGCTGGAGGTTTTTGGATCTAAAAGGGCGGTGAAGTGTAGTGGGAGATCACAAGCCTGTCCCACCTCTGTTCTGGCTTCCTTTCTCTTAATGTGGCCTCTCCTCTAGCAGGCACTATCACTGTTATGGCATTGATATAAAGAGGATACATTCAGGAGCCATCAAGTGTCCATGGCTCTGTCCAGCACACCCCACCCCCAGTCCTCTGAGCTGCACTGAGGAAGAGGTCATTGAGTCAGGATGTCATGAACCCGGATGAGCTCCTGCAACTTCTGCTCCAGGTCCTTAGCCTGCTGCCGCAGCTTTTCAGCAGACTCTGCCTTTGCACCCTCAAGCAAATGCTTTGAGTCATCTATGAGGCTGACCACATCTGTCACAAGAGAGAGACCTGCAGTGGCCGCACCCATGATCCGGGCTCCTTTGGTCATTGCCAGCGCAGTGCCTCCAAAGGCTTTCTTCACCTGTGTAGTGTTTTTGGCTGACACCTTCCCTGTGGTCATAAGACGCTTGGCATTATTTGCCAGGCAAGGGTTGACTTTGGTCAGCTTGATGGCATCAATGTTCTTCTTCATGCCTTCCAGGTTCCGGAAGGAATTCTTAGTTACAGAAATAAGCCTGGGGGTGTTCTTCTTCACAACTTCTTTAATGTCCTTTTCAGTGTTGTTGCTTTTAATGTCATTCTCAGTGTCGTTGCTCCTTGGCAGAAACTGGCTGGCTTCAGCTTCCACCGACGCTGTGCTCACCTTTTCCACAATGGTTGTGGAAACACTTGTCACAGCCGCTGCTGCCCCAAGCCCCAAGCCTGTGGCTGAAAGCCCCAGACTGACTCCTGCTGTCACAGGTGCCAGAGCGAAACCAAGGATCGTCAGGACCCCAGACACAGCACCAGTGGAGCTGGCCACCACTTGTGTGATGGTGCAGTCCCTGTGAACCTTGTCAATCTTGTCTGCAAGGGCATGGAGCTTCCTGATGCTCTCCTCAAGCTCCCGTTTCACCTGAGGATAAACTTCCAAAAACCTTTCCTTCTCACGTGAGGCATCTTTCACTTTCCTGTAAAGGGAGAGACCAACTAACTCAGTGAGGAAGAGAGTTTGGAAAGATCTGTCCTGTAGCAATCACAAGCATCTGCTGTGAATGAAATGGAGGAGAGTCTTACAGCTGTATAATGTCATTCTTGCATTGGTGAGCAGGTTGGATTCACCACACAACATTTAATTGTTAAGAACACAATGAGCTAAAAACCATATTACTGTGTCCTTTTAAATTTTTATTTCAGTTCTTTGAGTGTTTTGCCTGCAGATGTGTGTGTGTACACTTTCCATCTGCAGGCCTGGTGCCATGGAGGGCAGAAGAAAGAATTAGATCTCTAGACCCAGAGTTACAGACAGTTGTGAGCCATCATGAGGATGCTGGGAACTGGACTTCAGCCCTGTGGCAGAGCACAAAGTGCTCTTAACTCCTGAGTCTTCTCTAGTCATTTATCACACATTTTTATTGATAGATATTTAATAAAGATGGCTTCCCCTCAAGACCAATGTCACCACTACCAACATATTTCTCTGTAGGAACTCTAAAACACAGAGAAGTGAGGTTTGGGGAAAAAAAAAAAAACCTTTATTTTAGGAAAGTTAGTGTTTTCCAAAGATTACACTTTTCCCAATAAAACAATGCCCCCTGGTTTCAGCTACTGGGAACTGACTTGTCTACCCTACCATGACCTGCTGCTGGTTTGGGATGTCCACATTTGCTTGGGGACTTGTGATTTGAGAGTCTGCTAATTGCACACCCCTGGGAGAGAAACCCTGCACAGGACATCCTTTGTAGCTGCATGACTCCTTATACTGCAGCTGTGTGTACTCCTGAGATGGTGGCACTGCTCACAGCTAAGACCCTTCCACTCAAAACACAGCACACAAAGTTCCCTTCCAGCTGTGAGTAGAAGATAAAGAACCACGAGTGGGTCCCCATTTTCATGTGGGTCCCATCCCCAAGGTACCTCACTGTGCCTCTGCAAGTGTTTCCATGGCAGGCAAATCTGAGAATTCAAATTAGGTAGGTTCAGCCACCAAGCCCACCTTTTCATCTGCGAGGTCCTTGGAACCCTGCTCCCATGCTGAGGGCACCAGAGAGGTGAGTCAGTGGCCACAGGGCCAGACAGCTGGAAGTGCCACTCTCCCGGAACTTCCCAACAGGAAGAATCCCCCCCCCAATTTCCTAAGCTTTTCTGGCCATCCAACGGGGTTTGTTCCTGCTGATGGCTTTCTTTACCCCATCCCACTTTGCCTGCAAGCCTGACTTTTCTTCTGTGAGGTCCTTAGAACCCCCAACACAGCCTGCTTCAGGGCTGAGGGGACCGCAGAGCCAGTGGGGAGTGTTCCTGCTGCTAACATCAAATTAAATGGAGGGAAACTCAAAGCGATTCCACTAAAATCAGGAACAAGACAAGGCTGTCCTCTCTCTCCATATCTCTTCAACATAGTGCTTGAAGTCTAGCAATAGCAATAAGACAACATAAGGAGATCAAATGGATTCAAATTAGAAAGGAAGAAATTAAATTTTCGCTATTTGCAGATTATATGATAGTGTACATAAGTGACCCCAAAAACTGTACCAGATAACTCCTACAGCTGATAAATATCTTCAGTGATGTGCCAGGATACAAGATCAATGCAAAAAAATAAAAAAAATCAGTAGCCCTCCCGTACACAAAGGATAAAAAAAGCTGAGGGGAAAATCAGAGAAACATTCCCTCTCACAATAGCAGCAAATAGCATAAAGTAAGCAAGGAAGTGGAAGACCTATTTGACAAGAACTTTAAGTCTTTGAAGACAGAAACTGGAAAGGATATCAGAAAATTGAAGGATCTCCCATGCTCTTGGGTTGGTAGGATCAACATAGTAAAAATGGCAATCCTACCAAAGGCAATCTATAGATTCAATCCAATCCCCATCAAAATCCCAACAAAATTCTTCACAGACCTTGAGAGAACAATAATCAACTTTATATGGAAAAACAAAAAACCCAGGACAGCCAAAGCAATTCTATACAATAAAGGAACTCCTGGAGGCATTACCATCCCTGACTTCAAACTCTATTACAGAACTACAGTAAAGTAAACAACTTGGTATTGGCATAAAAACAGAGATGTTGACCAATGGAATTGAATTGAAGACCTGGATATTAATCCGCACACCTATGAACACCTGATTTTTGACAAAGAAGCTAAAATTATACAATGGAAGAAGGAAAGCATCTTTAACAAATGTTGCTGGCATAACTGGATGTCAACCTATAGAAGAATAAAAATAGATTCATATCTATCACCATGCATAAAACTCAAGTCCAAATGGTTTAAAGACCTCAATATAAACCTGATTACACTGAACCTGATAAAAGAGAAAGTGGAAAGTAGCCTGCAGTGCATGGGCACAGGAGACCACTTCCTATGTATAACCCTAGTAGCACAGACAATAAGAGCAACAATGAATAAATGGGACCTCCTGAAACTGAGAAGTTTCTCTAATGCAAAGGACACAGTCATTAAGACAAAAAGGCAACCTACTGAATGGGAGAAGATCTTCACCAACCCCACATCAGACAAAGGTCTGATCTCCAAAATATATAAAGAACTCAAGAAACTAGACATTAAAATTCTAAATAACCCAAACAAAAAATGGGGTACTGAACTAAACAGAGAATTCTCAACAGAAGAATTTCAAACGGCCAAAAGATACTTAAGGTCATGTTCAAC